ATAGGAAATAGCGAATAATCCTACCAAGTCATGTTTAATAAAGTATCCATATTTTTGTTCCTAATCAGCATAATCATGCATTTATAACCAAATTTGGTTGATCTGATACTTATGCATGATGACTCACACTTTTTACGTAATACACAGTTGATCGATAGCACAAATAGATCCAGATGCGCCCGATTTTGTGTTTCACTCTTTCGTTCTTTCCCATGATGATTGCATGTTAAGACTGGGGAATACGTCGTTTAAACGATGCTTAGAGCATTCCCATGCATGTTTAACTGTAAGATATCCAAGTTTTTACGAAAATTTGGAGAAGAGTACTCATCTTCTCACGTCTTCATGGGAAGGAGGAACCGGTCATTTTTTTATCGCTTCAGATGGTCTTTATTAAGTTTTGGCCATGCTCTCCACCTCGAGAGCGAACGAAAACTTAGTATTTGCATTTAAATGCACCTTGAGAAATGTCTTGAGGAACTGATGTGTTTAGGCTTTTTTCTACCATAGAGATTAAAAAGCACTCTCAACACAAGTCATACTACAAGGATTCATCGGTTGAATCCTAAGGCTCATAACAGTGAGGCGCAACTCGGTTCACTGATATTTAGGCTTTTGGCAGCTGAACCTGACAAACAAAAGTCAAAATTTACATGAGTTTTACGATCATGGTTATTGTTCATTCATGGCTTGAAATCCGAATATAATCTCCCCAGTAATTTGAATTCATGTCCGAATTGATCGTTTGCTCTTATTTTTTTAGGGTCGAGCGATATGTAACTTCCTCGCAGTTCGACTCGGGCAATGTGTTTTTATTTTTAAACGTAGCTAATAACATATCAAATTTATTAATAAAATACAGAATTTAAACAGGATATCTGTTGCGATTACCAGTTTTCTTATCATGTTCTAACTTAAAATCTATTGCTAGTTCTTTAGTTTTAAAATATTTTCGTTTACATTTTTTATTTTCCCACCATTAAAAAATCCAACTTTTTTGATATTTATCAAAAAAAATTCTATTATATCCAGATGTATTTGTCTTAAATAATTTAGAATTTATAGCATTTAAATGGTAATTTGTTTCTCTCAAATTACATTCACGGTTATCTAAGCCATTTCGGTTAATATGATCAATCATTTTCCATTGTAAATTTAACAATTTATAAAAACGTATAGTTGTTTTTTTATTATTTTTTTTAAATTTTGCTATAATATAAAAAGTATTATTTTTTTTTGATGGCTTATACGCAATTCAAGTGTAGTTCTTTAAGTGCTTAAAATGTTTATAATCAGTGAGAAACGTGATGTCAGGCTTCTGAGTTTTCACCTTGAGGTAAAGCTTGTTGTCGATCTTAGCCGTGCGATACTCGTTCAGCTTGAGCCTGGGCTTGTCTGGATTCGTGATCTTCTCCCATGTTGTTGCGTGTTCGAATGATAGGAATTTCTTTTTCCAGTCCATTGTTGATCGATAAATTTACTAATATAGAAATCTAAATTTAGTAATTTTCAAGTTATAAATATGAATTTTTGTGTATCTTGGTGATAAACTTAAAAATAAAATGAAAGAGAATAGAATATGAGAACGAGGAAGAAGAAATTCACCCTATTTATCTTGTTTTTAACTACGTTTTCAATCCCTATACCTTTCAAAAGTGCTTACTTGTCTGTAAATCTTGGAAAGAAGTTCTTGATGAGCATCCTTTCTGGCGAGGATTGTGGTCTTGAATCTCCAAAACTGAAATTAAGAAAATATAAGACTTACAAGTCGATATTCATTAAAAACTATGAGAAAATCTGCCCTTGCTACAAGGGGTTGTTGAAAGAGCACGATTTTGTCTATATTGTGAATTTCAAATTACACATCTTACGAGAGTATTGTTATTATAAATTACGATACAAGGTCTACAAAGAGAATCGTGTGTATGGTAATCTTGTTATATATATAAAGAAAAAGATTTTAAAATTAATAGAAAAAAGCGATATGTTAACTCATTGCATTTATCTTTTAGGTTACATTAGAGGTTTAATAGATCAAATTTACAAAAAATGTGATCAAATTGAACGAAGAAAGATAATTTGTATATTTGTTAAAGTAGATTTTATTAAGGTAGTTGTTAGAAATTTGTATTATATTATTAATGATAAAACTTTGTATATTGAGAAATTTGGGGGTTATATTAATGATTGGAATTATACAATAAATAACAAGGCCGAATATAAAGATTTATAAAAGGCAAGATTTTCTAATCAGAACTATTAATTAAAATGAATAATCAAGAAATATTGGAATTTTTAAACAATAATCAAGAATTTTTACTAATCTATAAAGGAAAAGTTTTAATGTCATTGATTTATCGTGCATTTTATAAACATTATTATTTTGGTATTCTAGGAGAAAAAGACAACAAATTTATTAAGCAAGAATTAGCTGGAAAATATATTACCACTGTTAAAGAAAAAAGATATTTCAAATTAGTACTTAAAACGGCAATAAATAGTGTAAAACAACAAGCTAAACAATATAAACAAGAAGAAATTTTTAAAAAAGCGATTGAAAAACATCAAAATGTTATCAATAAAATTAAAATTAAAATTGAAGCTTTTAAATATAAGAGAGATTTTTTCAAATATTTAGATAATTTATTTATCAAATTTGTTCTTGTTGTTATATAATTAAAGAAAATTAAATTAAATAAAATATTAAATTTTTGTTTCAAAATTAAAAAAAATTACAATTTTGCAAGAATTTTTTTGTTGCAAGAATTTTCATATTGCAAGAATTTTCGGCTAAAGGCTCACCGGCCTGAGGCTAACAACAGAAGGCAGAATAAATGAAATACGCCACGATTGACGAAGTCAGGAGTAAGTATTTCATTTATGAACGACTGGCGTAAATTTTTCGAGTCCTCAGACAGTATTACGAGAAAAAGTTGTAATAAATATTAACTAACTTTTAACTGATTATTATCATATAATCTCGAGGACATCAATGTCCGTATGACATAATATT